ACGGGCTCCCGAAGCTTTTTCCGTCAGGTCTTCTGCGACGAAGGAGCCCTGGCCGCCATTCCGTTTCTCGCACATCATTTATTGGCCAAGTGTGATTGAACAACAAGGAATTTGTCTTTGGTGCATATGCTCTCACTGTACATAAAAAGATACATTCGTCAAGAATCATAAGGTACAACACAGTGATAGCCATAGGGTACAAATAAGCAATCAGTATCAATATCAATTGTAAGTATACAAGCAACAAAGTTACAGTCATGTTGTCCAAAGTGGGAGGAGATGGGTGAATGGAATGATGATGAGAAGACTATAGTAATAGTAATGCAGCATTAATGAATAGTTTGGCAGTGGTGAGGGAATTATTTCTTTAGAAGAGTGATGGCATTTGGGGAAAAAAAACTGTCCTTGTTTCTAGTTGTTCTGGTGTGCAGTGCTCTATAGCGTCGTTTTGAGGGTAGGAGTTGAAACAATTTATATCTAGGATGTGTGGGGTCTGTAAATATTTTCAGAGCCCTCTTTTTGACTCGTGCAGTGTACAGGTCTTTAATGGAAGGCAGGTTGGTAGTAATAGGTTTTTTCCCCCTGCAGTTTTAATTATCCTCTGAAGTCTGTGTCTGTCTTGTTGGGTTGCAGAACCAAACCAAATATGAAATATAAATAAATAAAAGAAAACATTTGTAGCTCGGGTTTTAGATTTTGGCAGTGGTTTGCTCTCCAAGCTTCTTTTCATTTAGTTTCTGAATGTTTCGTTACCAGACTAGGTAACATCAGCAGCAAGATTGTCTTGTCCTATTCCTCATTGCTGCTGATGACGTTACCTAGCCTGGTAACGAAACGTTCAGAAACTAAATGGAAACAAGCTTGGAGAGCAAACCACTGCCAAAAATAAATTAAAAAAAAATTCCAGGTGTTCTTAGTGACTCCTTAATATAGGAGTCCCTAAATATTTCTCTTCGTACAATTCAGTCTTCAACCAGCTTTTACAATTTTTTTAAAAAAGGTACAGTAAAAAAGAGAAGTAGTTTAGCACAACAATTTGTTATTGGGAAAGGGGAAAAAATAATAAGGCAACAAAGCAGCATACAGTAGCTAATTAAAAGTTTTGTGAAGTGCACAACCTGGTGAAGATATCAGGTCACATGATAGGTGAGTATAGGGTTAGCATCCTTGAAAATAATAAACATAAAATATTTCTGTGTGGTCTTCATATTTTGAAATGATTGGGTGCAATTCCCTTCCCCTTTCCCTTTTCCAATGGTGTGTTTGTGGCATGGTGCTCTATTCTGGAGCCTATGGATAAATCTCAATATCTCATACATTTGAATAAGATTAAATACGCTAAGACTACATAACTCAACACCCAGTTTCTTTGTTAGAGTAACTGTTTGTGAGACATTCATGATTACCTGTGTCACAGCTATTCACTATTCATACAGAAAATGTTAGTAGCCTGCTCTTGATTACACTAGAATTTCCCCCTCCCGGTGATGGGGTTTAGATTGACTTCCAGATGATTTTCTAATCCTAAATGATGCAATCAAGACCACTACCTAATCCAGCACGCTACAATATCCCTGCTTGATTAAAAGACCCCTCAAGGGAATAGGCAATTTGCATGCATAAATTGCTTCCTTTTCTTTCCTGTTTGTTTATTTATCAAGTTTATACAGCCACACTTCCCACAAAAGTGACTCTGAGGAGTGTACAACTGAAGTGGTATTCAGCCGGTTCTCTCTGATTCGGGCGAACTGGTAGTGATGGCTGCGGAAGGCTCCACCTACTGCCCCCGACATAATGTGTGTGGGGCAGGGGTGGGTTTCTCGCCCCGTTCCAACCAGTTCACGCGGTGCACGCATGCGTATTAGCGTCTGTGCGATGCTCCAGCTGCTCCTGGAGGATCGCGCAGGCGCTGTATGCATCCTGCGCATGCGTGGAAGCGCAGAACTCGTCAAAACCGGGTAAGGACCGCGGGCGGGCAGGCGTGCCCTTCGCCGTTCCCGGAAGTTACTTACTTCCGGGTTTGGCGACCAACCGGTTCGCAAGGACCGCCGCGAACCGGTTGAAACCCACCCCTGGTGTGGGGGGTTCATGCGCAGAAGCACAAATGAGGTGCGTGCAAGCGAAGCGAGCACGCTCACATTTGCAAACTGGTAGGGAAGGTAAACGAATCCCACTTCTGGTGTACAACAAATCTAAAAAGTTTATTAAGAAATATCAGACTATCATCATTGTAAAAATTACTAAAAACACCAAAAAAGCTCAAAATTATTTATTTATTTATCAAATTTATACAGCTACTCGTCTTATCCAATATGACTCTGGGTGACACGGAAAAATTAAAAAAAATATGAACATATAAAAACAGTGAATTTGTTTATTATCTATCTATCATCTATCTATCACCTCTCACAGGATTGTCAAACTCAAGGCCTGGAGGGCACCCATGGGGTTCTTAGATCTGGGTCGCCCTGCCAGCAAAGGACCAACCCACGGTGCTTCTGCCAGCGAAAACGGGCTCTCAAGCTCCGTTTTCAGTTGCCAGGGCCTCCTGCAACCCTTTGCCAGTGAAAGCGGAACTCGGGAGGGTTGCCGTCCTGAGCCATGCCTACCCGCCTTGCCCTTTCCTCCCCCAGATCAAACACAAGCCTGATGTGGCCCTCAGTGAAATCAAGTTTGACACCCCTGATCTATCACATCCTGGACATAAACTGTTTCAACTTCTCTCCTCAGAAAGACACTATAGGGCATTGCATGCCAATACAACTAGACACAAAGAGTCTGCACTTCACCCCCACCCCCAGGCCATCACTCTGCTAAACACCTAATGCCCACGGCACTGTCTTATGCCTAAGAATACCTAACCATGTAGTATCTAACGCATTACTATTATCCTTCTCATATTTCCTATTACCTACTTCTACTGGCATCTTATGACTATCACTTTGTTGGTTGTATCTTATGATTTATGGTTGTATCTTATAATTTATCAATTTGTTGCTTATATGTTTATTGAGAGTTTATGCACCAGAGACGAATTCCTTGTGTATCCAATCACACTTGGCCAATAAAGAATCTTCTCTTCTCTATGAAAAGAAGGAGTACTGTGTTCCAATATCTCAGGGGCTGCCACAAAGAAGAGCGGGTCAACCTATTCTCCAAAGCACCTGAAGGCAGGACAAGAAGCAATGGATGGAAACTAATCAAGAAGAGAAGCAACCAGTGGTGGATTAAGGCTCACTGGTGCCCTAAGCACTGACAAATCTTGGTGCCCCCCCCCTTTGTACATACTGTACAAATCTTCAATTTTTTTTTTCCTTTTCTCAACTTTGTGGACCTGGTGCACTGAGCATATGCTTAGTCTGTTTAATGGCTAATACACCACTGGAAGCAGCCTAGAACTGAGAAGAAATTTCTCAGTTGTTGACAGTTAGAACAATTAATCAGTGAAATGGCTTGACTCCAAAAGTTGTGAGTGCTCCAACACTGGAGGTTTTTAAGTAGAGATCGGACAATCATTTGTCTGAAATGGTCTAGGTTTTTGTTTTAACCTGAGCAGGGAGTTGGATTAGAAGACCTCCAAGTCCCCTTCCAACTATTCTATTCTATTCTATTCTATTCTATTCTATTCTATTCTATTCTATTCTATTCTATTCTATTCTATTCTATCCTATCCCTATCCCTATCCCTATCCCTATCCCTATCCCTATCCCTATCCCTATCCCTATCCCTATCCCTATCCCTATCCCTATCCCTATCCCTACCCCTACCCCTACCCCTACCCCTACCCCTTTCCCTATTCCTATTTATTTCTATTTCTTTCATCAAACTTTATAGCCTATCAGGCACAAGTAACTAGGAACGGGACTTGAGTTCAAATTACTAACAGTTCATTACATGCCATCTATATACAAGAATCTGGTCTATTAATGGTCAAGGGAAATTGGTGCTCGGTAAGTGTTAACATAATTCACCGGTGGGTGGGTGTCTTTATGCAATGACAAACTTTAGGGGACATCTTCTGAGATAGGTGTCTGCAACCATTCCTTCAAGGGATTGTGATTTCACAGATTTCATGAATGCATCACCTGGTGGGATAACACAGCCACTCATGAGTCAAAGAATTATCATAAGACCAGTAAAAGGGATGGGGGGAGAAGAACCGGTATATGAACAAAATAGCAAAATAGTGTACTAGGAAGTAAGAGATATGAATATGAATTGATGGGAAAACCCTTATCTCCATCTGCCCCAGCTCTGCATCCTAGGACACAAACAGAATTAATATTTTATTTTATTGATTTATATATTAAATTTATATGCCACTTATATCACTGTGACATATAAACACTCAGAATGGGACAATTCACAGTGGCCAACTCATCATGAAGAGGTGGGTTGCTGCTGGTTTGGCCCAGATCAGCCAAACCAGTAATAGCGGTGGTGGGAGATGTGCTCGCAAGCGGGTGCAGGAGCGCCCCGAAACTGGTAGTAAAAAGATTAGCAACCCATCTCTGTCACCATTGCCAATTCATTGCAGGACAACTTGCCATGGTGGGGGAATTTAACAATTCAATTTGATTACTTAAAATAAATTAAAAAAAACTTTTTAATGTTTGTCATTCACATTTCATTTTGTCCCTAATTTTGCATCCCTTCATTAATTATTCTATTCTACCATTTCTTTGATATTAGTGCAACTCTTGTCCTTCAGCGAGTTGTCCCATGGCAAGTTGGTCATGGCAAGTTGTCCCATGGCAAGTTGGTCATGGCAAATTGTCCCATGATTAGTTGGCCATGACTAGTTGGTTGTGGTGACCTGGCTGTGGCTAGTTGGCTGTGGCTAATTGGTCATGGTGAGCTTGCCATGACTAGTTGGCCATGATTAGTTGGTCGTGAAGAGCTGACTGTAGCTAGTTGGCTGTGGCTAGTTGGTCATGCTGAGTTGGCCACGACTAGTTGGCTGTGGCCTGTTGGTCATGGTGAGCTGGCAATGGCTACTTCGCTGTAGCTGGTTGGTAGTGGTGAGTTGGCCATGGCTAATTGGCTGTGACTAGTTGTTGGTGGTGAACTGGCTGTGGCTAGTTGGTCATGATGAGCTGGCAATGGCTACTTTGCTGTGGCTGGTTAGTTGTGGTGAGTTAACCATGGTTACTTTGCCGTAGCTGGTTGGTTGTGGTGAGCTGGCCATGGCTAATTGGCTGTGACTAGTTGGTGGTGGTGATCTGGATGTGGCTAGTTGGTCATGGTGAGTTGGCCGTGGCTAGTTGGCTGTGACTAGTTGGGCGTGGTGATCTGGCTGTGGCTAGTTGTTCGTGGCTAGTTAGCCACGGCAAATTGTCATAGACCCATAAATACTTTCTCTCTCTTTTTCCCCATTGCAGGTGGAACGGGAAATTGCTATTCTGAAGCTGATTGAACACCCTCACGTACTCAAACTTCATGATGTCTACGAGAACAAAAAATACTTGTAGGTATTTATT